GTGCTTCGAGTCAGGATTTTGTCAGTCGAAGACCCCCGTTGTGAATACCCATGAAAATCATTCGCTTTGATTGCGGTAACCTGTTACTGTTCTGTAGACTGAATTCTTTATGTAGATATTTGCACCATGATCTATCCGAGAGAAGGTTGGGATCCCGAAAAATACCAAATATAATGAAAAATGCATCAGGCAAGCTTTAAAATATCAAAATGTCAATATCTTTAAATATTGACTTAGTTTGTATTGGTTTGGAACGTTGTGTTGANGTGTTGAGATCATTACACTCAATTTTACAGCCATATGGTACTGCGTATAATCTTCGCACATTTTCGTTGTAGGTTACACTTTTTGGGAGCTCAAGGAACTGCATTTCAGTCACGGGACTTGGAGTGGTGAACATAAAGCCCAACTAGTTTAGGCATCATAGTGAGCTGCACGACATCGAAGTTGCCAGTTTTCATAAACGGACAGTGAAAGCACGTGATCAAGGGGTTAACCACTTGGGCTGTTCGCCGCAATATCTGTGACAAACAAACAGTAGCGACGAGAAGCAGTAAACCATTCAAGGTGGTAGAGATTAGCTAAGGATCGCGTCAAACAGATAAATTTGGCCAATTCAAATATGAGGAAGTAAATGAATATCAAAAATCGATTGCTTCAGGTTCAGGATAAGTGTAACGGTAAAATTCAATCAATAACTGGTTATTCCAGTTGGCCAGGATTTCTCGAACATTTACACGTCTCTTGAGGGTTGTAACCGACCAGAACAGTCATCAGCAGCTGACTTGTCCAAACGAGTGACAGGACCTTGATTACGAATCATCCATGAGGAGACGTGTGAACCGCCTAAAAGTCGCTGCATTGACAATGACCAGCTCGATCCATAGACCGTGGCAGACAATACAGATACGGAAATCCTGTCCAACAGTTACCCAAAAGACAGTTGGTGATGGTAGACTTGTGGCTTCATCCAATCCGAATGAAATTAAAATTAAAATAAGAGCTGGTTTTTCGTTCCCCCAAAAAGCACGAGAAACGGGTAACTGGCAAATGTTTCCGTTATAAATCCTAAGTGTAGGTCATCACAAACTACACGTCGCCACCAGAACTGTTCCATTAACCTTCAGTGAACCCTTTAACGAAAATTCCATCACATTGATTGGAGATACTCGCAAAAAGGCGAGAACCAACGGTCGAAAGGTTTCAGTTTGAATAACCATTGACCACGCTTTTTCGTGTGCCAGTTTTGGTTGCTGTTATCTGCCTGCCAGTTTGGATGAACAGTAGGAGCAAGACAGGAAAATTGAGATTAGAATTGAATAAAAAATGGAGAATTTCAGTGGACTAATGTTGTGAAGTAATTGAGACGTACGCACGCCACCGTTGACGACACTCTCACTCACACACTTTCACTCAGTGACTCTAACCATCGGTTACGATCATCCCAAGGTCTCCATTCAGGGACTTAGGTGACCAAGCCACCTGATTAGGATTTTCATTCCCTCGTGCAAGGTCTTAGCTTAACCACCCTTCGCTTTCTTCCATCCATTACCTGCTCGCCGTGGCAACCTATTTGGTGACATGCGTAACACATGCCCCAACCAGTGTAATCTATGGAGGTAGACCACTTGGTCCTGCGCCTAACCTCAGCATTGCTCGTTCGGCGGCCCCACCAGATTCGTACAATGCGACTTAGATAGCGGCGTTCGAACACCAAGAGTCTACCTTTATCCTGTCTTCTTAATGGTCTAGTTTCAGTGCCGTATAGCAGAACTTGCCAAACTTCCGCAGCACACGCTCGACACTTCACAGACAGCCAGATGTCGCGAGGGTCCCACAAATGTCTCAAGTTGGCAAATGCCAACCGAGCCTTTTGTATGCGCACCGACACTATCCGTGATGCGTCCACCGGGTGAGACGTGGCTGCCCAAATGGTCAAACTTATCCACTTGTTCTATTATTTCCCCAGCTAGAGTGAGGCTGTATGCTTGACCAAACCAGTCTTGTAGTAACATTTCACACTTTGAAGGTGCAAAACGCATACCGAACATGGCACTCAAGCTATCCAGAAAAGCTTGCAAACAAACCTGAATCTTCACTTAGGAATACAATGTCAGCTGCATACTCTAAATCAGACAGTCTACCATCTGGGGGTAAATCGATGTCACTATCCTCGCAAGAGGATAGGGCTGTTTCCATAATCAAATATATAACAAGGCCTCCAAAAGCCTCAGTATGGTCGGGGGTGGGTGTCTAGGGTTGCGGCTGGTCACCCTTACTTTACTTTACTTACTTACTTTACTACGGCTGGCTCCTTGGAAAGGATAAGCCGGCTTCATGAATGTCTCTGATGGCCGCTATCCATGCTTGGCGGTCGACTGCAAGATCCTTGCAAATATCGATTCAGTTTGTTTTCCATCTGCGAGTGCCGTACACCATCCGGAGGCCAAGTTAGTCGACGTCTACGAATACGGTATCCAGCCAGGTTTTTAATTGCCCCCCTTGTCGGCGGCGCCAGCCAGGACATGGTGTCGGAGCCAAGACAATACTCGTAAAAGT